TATTATCTATAACATGCTATATAATATAAAGGAAAAACATTGAAAAAACAAAAGCGCTAAATGTACTAATTTCGAAGACACCACAACAAATACGAAAAACACCGCAATTACAATTATAGAGCACAAAGTAAGTATAATCTATAACATGCTATATAATATAAAGGGAAAACATTGAAAAAACAAAAGCGCTAAATGTACTAATTTCGAACACTCTACAACAAATACGAAAAACACCGCAACTACAATTATAGAGCACAAAGTAAGTACAATCTATAACATGCTATATAATATAAAGGGAAAACATTGAAAAAACAAAAGCGCTAAATGTACTAATTTCGAACACTCTACAACAAATACGAAAAACACCGCAATTACAATTATAGAGCACAAAGTAAGTATAATCTATAACATGCTATATAATATAAAGGGAAAACATTGAAAAAACAAAAACGCTAAATGTACTAATTCCGAACACTCTACAACGAATACGAAAAGCATCGCAATTACAATTATAGAGCACAAAGTAAGTATAATCTATAACATGCTATATAATATAAAGGGAAAACATTGAAAAAACTAAAGCGCTAAATGTACTAATTTCGAACACACTACAACAAATACGAAAAACACCGCAATTACAATTATAGAGCACAAAGTAAGTACAATCTATAACATGCTATATAATATAACGGGAAAACATTGAAAAAACAAAAGCGCTAAATGTACTAATTTCGAACACTCTACAACAAATACGAAAAGCACCGCAATTACAATTATAGAGCACAAAGTAACTATACTCTATAACATGCTATATAATATAAAGGAAAAACATTGAAAAAAAAAGCGCTAAATGTACTAATTTCGAACACTCTACAACGAATACGAAAAGCACCGCAATTACAATTATAGAGCACAAAGTAAGTATTATCTATAACATGCTATATAATATAAAGGAAAAACATTGAAAAAACAAAAGCGCTAAATGTACTAATTTCGAAGACACCACAACAAATACGAAAAACACCGCAATTACAATTATAGAGCACAAAGTAAGTATTATCTATAACATGCTATATAATATAAAGGAAAAACATTGAAAAAACAAAAGCGCTAAATGTACTAATTTCGAAGACACCACAACAAATACGAAAAACACCGCAATTACAATTATAGAGCACAAAGTAAGTATAATCTATAACATGCTATATAATATAAAGGGAAAACATTGAAAAAACAAAAGCGCTAAATGTACTAATTTCGAACACTCGACAACAAATACGAAAAACACCGCAACTACAATTATAGAGCACAAAGTAAGTACAATCTATAACATGCTATATAATATAAAGGGAAAACATTGAAAAAACAAAAGCGCTAAATGTACTAATTTCGAACACTCTACAACAAATACGAAAAACACCGCAATTACAATTATAGAGCACAAAGTAAGTATAATCTATAACATGCTATATAATATAAAGGGAAAACATTGAAAAAACAAAACGCTAAATGTACTAATTCCGAACACTCTACAACGAATACGAAAAGCATCGCAATTACAATTATAGAGCACAAAGTAAGTATAATCTATAACATGCTATATAATATAAAGGGAAAACATTGAAAAAACTAAAGCGCTAAATGTACTAATTTCGAACACACTACAACAAATACGAAAAACACCGCAATTACAATTATAGAGCACAAAGTAAGTACAATCTATAACATGCTATATAATATAACGGGAAAACATTGAAAAAACAAAGCGCTAAATGTACTAATTTCGAACACTCTACAACAAATACGAAAAGCACCGCAATTACAATTATAGAGCACAAAGTAACTATACTCTATAACATGCTATATAATATAAAGGAAAAACATTGAAAAAAAAAAGCGCTAAATGTACTAATTTCGAACACTCTACAACGAATACGAAAAGCACCGCAATTACAATTATAGAGCACAAAGTAAGTATTATCTATAACATGCTATATAATATAAAGGAAAAACATTGAAAAAACAAAAGCGCTAAATGTACTAATTTCGAAGACACCACAACAAATACGAAAAACACCGCAATTACAAGTATAGAGCACAAAGTAAGTATAATCTATAACATGCTATATAATATAAAGGGAAAACATTGAAAAAACAAAAGCGCTAAATGTACTAATTTCGAACACACCACAACAAATACAAAAAGCACTGCAATTAGAACTATAGAGCACAAAGTAAGTATAATCTATAACATGCTATATAATATAAAGGGAAAACATTGAAAAAACAAAAGCACTAAATGTACTAATTCCGAACACTCTACAACGAATACGAAAAGCACCGCAATTACAATTATAGAGCACAAAGTAAGTATAATTTATAACATGCTATATAATATAAAGGAAAAACATTGAAAAAGCAAAAGCGCTAAATATACTAATTTCGAACACTGTACAACGAATACGAAAAGCTCCGCAATTAAAACTATAGAGCACAAAGTAAGTATAATCTATAACATACTATATAATATAAAGGGAAAACATTGAAAAAACAAAAACGCTAAATGTACTAATTCCGAACACTCTACAATGAATACGAAAAGCATCGCAATTACAATTATAGAGCACAAAGTAAGTATAATCTATAACATGCTATATAATATAAAGGGAAAACATTGAAAAAACTAAAGCGCTAAATGTACTAATTTCGAACACACTACAACAAATACGAAAAACACCGCAATTACAATTATAGAGCACAAAGTAAGTACAATCTATAACATGCTATATAATTGTTGATGTAATTTTTCAACAAAAATAAAGTAAAATTCAAAGATATAGAAAATATCCTTAAACTTGATTAATTAGTGCCTGAGATTAGGAATCTCTAAACACTGTATGGTACAGAAAATAAACTGGAAAATAAAAGACTGAAATTTAAAGTGGTGATCCCCAAATCTGACTTTGCTTTGTTGAAGTTGATTGAAGATACCTTGCCAAATGATGATTCAGATCCTTAAATATTCCCTGGGAAACCGTACTGAAAACCGTCACCCGAACGGTTACAACGTCTCCTTCTCAACCGTCTTCCAACCTTTCTCATGCTGACACGTGTCCCCAGCAGACCAAAATTCCCTATATTTCGCTCCTTGAGCCGACCACAAACCTTCCGCTCTTTTGGCCCGACTTCGTCCTTCGTCCGACCTACTTCTTCGCCCGACCCCACTTGGGCCGACCTCCATATCAACCGCCCTCTGTCTTTGATCAAAGGCCTCCGCGTTTGTCCGACTCCGCCTTCTATCCGACCTACAGTTTACCCGACCTGCGGATATCCTATCTCGACAACTTTTCCGTCTCGAAGACCTCCCGACTTGAAAACCTTCCGACTCATCGTCTTTCCGTCTTGCGGACCTCCCGACCTGAAAAACTTCCGACTTGAGGTCTTTCCGTCTTGCGGACCTCCCGACCTGAAGACCTTCCGACTTGAGGTCTTTCCGTCCTGAGGACCTACCGACCTGAGGTCCTTCCGTCCTGAGGACCTACCGACCTGAGAACCTTCCGTCTTGAGGTCTTTCCGTCTTGCGGACCTCCCGACCTGAAGACCTTCCGACTTGAGGTCTTTCCGTCTTGCGGACCTCCCGACCTGAAGACCTTCCGACTTGAGGTCTTTCCATCTTGAGGGCCTCCCGACCTGAAGACCTTCCGACCTGAGGTCTTTCCGTCCTGAGGACCTACCGACCTGAGGTCCTTCCGTCCTGAGGACCTACCGACCTGAGAACCTTCCGTCCTGTATTTTCCTTAGAAATAAATAAATAAATTTATTTTCCTTGATTTCCTCACGGTGTCCTTCAGCCAGTTCAATCAACCCTATTGCCAGGCCCATTCTTCTTTTTACCTTGGGCTTTTAACCTAATTCTAAATTTCGTACGTAACAACTTGCCCGCCGCCAAGGGACTTTCAAACGCCAATAAATGTTTGGAAGTTCATAAAGCACTACCTTCTTGAAAAACTCCCTTAGCAACTACACCAGTTACTGCAACACTCCTGGTTTATTCCTTCTTCGCAATACAAGCCTGTGTGAATCACAATCCCAAAACATTCTAACTATGGCGAATCAATACATTCCTGCCCTTCCTTTCGACGGAACCCTTCCAGAAGGTCCATTTTCAGCCTCGAAAGTACTAACTCCGACGATCCGTCCATATTGCACTACTCCTGAAGATTCAAATCGGATGAGGGAAGTTTTGGAAACTCGCAACACCTTGGCTATCAACAATCCCAACTACCAAGCAATTCGCATCCGAGACAGCATCAAGACCCATCTCACAGACCCAAAAGATCTGTATCGTGCTTGGTATCGACGAGTAGCAGAACACTTCCAGACCCAATGGCGATCCCAAAAGATCGACCAAGCAATACTACTGTCTACCATGCCTATCAACCTGCATGAGAAGGTGCTGTTGGCCATGTCCGCCTTCTGGAATGCGGAAAATGGGACTTTCCTTTTGCCCTCGGCCCCCTTTGGCCCAACCCTTATGGACGTGGCCATGATCGCACATCTCCCAGTCGTGGGTGAAGACCCTGTAATGGGAGCCCTAGATGGGCAGGAGCCACCAGAAGACCATCCGGGATGGTCTTTACAAGGTGTGAAGGAATGGGGTTGGACAAAGTTCGCAACCGACCATTCAATCGGGCCTTTGGTCCAGACCAATTTGCCAATGAGCAGTCGGGCGGAGGACCCGACGCGGAGGCAAACTCTTCCTCCCGCACCGAGGAGTGGTCGGGCCAGGCCCCCGACCAGGAGACAATCTTTACCAGCAGTGCCTACAGAACCAGTAAGTTCTCTCACCAGCACTCCTTAGTATTCTAATGATCAACCTTGATATAGTTAACAACAAACATTTTCATGATTTTCCACAGACACCTTCACCCATCCCATCAGCAGCAGGGGTCTCTTCTGACAGCGAAGGGACTACTTCCCAGATGGGTCGGCCGCCATACATGGCATCAGACTCATCTCTGTCAAAGGAAGAACCAGCCGCCCTCGCCGAGGCTGACCCTCAAAATGACATCCCTGATGCTGCTGATCCCGAAATCGAAGGTGCCCCAGAGATCCTGGCTGCAGTGGCTCTAGATGTAGCCGTCCAACCTGCAGCCGCCCTACCAGCAGCGGCGCTCCCTCTAGCTATCGAATGGCAGGCAGAAGAACCACCTGTGGCAGCCCAACCTCCAGAAATGGAAGAAATGTCTTCATCCGATTCGGAGACTTCTGTGAATTTGGTAAGATTAAACCAATCCATGCCATAACTTTTCTTTCGAAAAACACTAACTGTTTCAAATACTACTTTCTATAGGGACCCAGGTCAGCACCTCAGCGACCATTCGCAGCAGCCGACGAGTCGGCTGCTGTTATACCAGCTGTCTGCCCAGCTCGACCGACCTCATTGCTACCCCCCTCACTGACAGCAGTCCGCCCAGAGGTACCACATTATCTTCTTCGAACAAATTTGCAACTCCCTTGGAATATTTATTGACATTGTAGGACTTGCAGGGGCCTTCGGACTTAGCTGTCCTATCGACTGTTCCGGTTCCAGCGGAGGCCCAGACTGTGTTCACTGAGGCCATTAACCGTCCCCTGTCCGAATTAAGGTCCGACTTATTGGACAAACTCATTCAGACGGTTGGTGGCCTTCTTTTTTACACTCCAACGGAATCACCAGCCGTCCCCATTCTGCATCGGCTGATGGAGAGACTTACAGAGCTCAAGACTGAAGTGGTAGTCATTGGCCTTCTGTCAGCCGAAACCCCCCAGCCCGACTTCGATCAAACAACGCTGGAGAATTCTTTGGCCAAGACTCGAGAATCCCTTCAGCAGACTACTGGAAGACTGGGTGGTCTCCTTAGCACGAAAGCTCTGGTTGATGATGCCATTCAGAAAAAGGAGGCAGAATTGCGGGAGCTGAGGAAAGAACAGTCTACCCTGGATAAGCAAATTACCAATGAACAGCATCTGCTTGAGAAGTATACCAAAAATGAGGCTGAATTGGATCAAGAACTGAAAACCCAAGCCCGATCCCAATTCATCAGAAGATATCAGACGGCTGCCAATACCAGAAGGTTATCTAGGGATGAAAACAAATGGACACAGATAAAAACTGCCCTAGGGGCACTGTTGTAATTTTTTTTCCCTTTGTAACAACAACTGACTTAGTAATCCATTTTTTCTTTCTTCTCTCAAAACAAGGATCACCTTTCAATTCCCAGCTTTATAGGAAACGAACCAAACTCCTTCTTTAAAAGAACACTGTTTCTCACATTTTAAGAAACATATTCCCAGGCATATTTTAAAAATCAAAACACTGAAAGTGTGAACAAACATGGCGAATGACCGACCTCATGTTCCATCAAGCAACTGGGAGGGTGTTCTTCAACCCTTCTTTGTAGGTAATCACCCTATTGGAGGCCATGCAGAAGACTTGTTATACATACTCAAGCAACTAGACTTCAAATTCCGATTCTCCCAACGAGGTAGAAGAACTATTCATCGCGTCATCCGCCTGATGGAAACAGTCATTGAGGGGTATGAACCTCTTCGTGACATCCTCAGCCGCATCCCTGATTTCCATCATCACATGGAAATGATTGAAAATCATGCAGCAACCATACTTCCAGACCTTGGTTGGGATAACATATTTTCCAATCAACGAAAAGTCTTGTCAAGGTTGCGTACCATTGTTGACCGTGAACATCAAGCCCTAACAGACATGCAAGCACGTACCCACCAAGATCTAGATGACATGCAAAGCCAATGGGAAAGGTACCGACCAGACTTGGAAGATCTTATTGAAGAAGAACCAGAGCTAATATCCACTCACTGGGATGAAAAGTCTGATTCAGAGACAGAAAATTTCTCACAACTACACGATGACTAATAGAAATGAACCTTCCAGTAGGTTCGAACCCCCATAAATGGGTTCTGAATAATATGTGGTTTCAGGCAGTTTTGTTATCTGAAAAGGCAGGATAATACCTCTTCAGATATTTAGCATTAATACAATCATGTACTCTTCTACCTTCATGATTTACAATAATGAACGCGCCATTTCCAATATCTTTTTGAACAATGTATGGTCCTTCCCAATTCGGTGACCACTTTCCCAATTGATCAGTTTTCTTATATGTAGGAAGAATGGTCTTCCAGACTAGGTCTCCTTTTTGGAATGTCCTGTGAAGAACTTTCTTTCCGTAACTCCTTGCTCTGATTTCACTCTGTTTCACACTTCGATCTATTGCATGGAGACGGTTAACATCCAAATCTTCTAACTGCTGCAACATAAGTTGTTGGTATTCCTTTGTAAGATCACTATCAGTAAATTCTGTTCGGCCGGATGATACTCGAATTTCGGCTGGTAAAACAGCATCTTGGCCAAACGTAAGTTGGTAAGGTGAGAACCCTGTGGCCGTATTTCTGGTATTTCTATGTGCCCATAAAGCCTGAGACAATAACAAATGCCACTTTCTTGGGTTCCCTTCAATCATCTTCTTTATAATCCCAATGATAATCTTATTTGCTGCTTCCGCCTGTCCATTGGCTTGGGGATAATAAGGTGAAGAATGATGTAACCGAACACCGAATTCTGCCAAGAAATTAGAGAACCTTTCCCCTGTAAAGACCAAGCCTTGGTCGGTTGTTATAGACTGAGGAATACCATATCTGTAAATAATTTGGTGCAAAACGAAGTCTATCACTTCTTTCTGATCCACATTTTTCAAAGCAACCGCTTCCACCCATTTGGTAAAGTAATCAGTCGCGACCAATATGAAACAGTGATGTTTCGATGAAGCAGGATGTATCTTACCAATAATATCCATAGCCCACGATTTAAAAGGCCATGGTTTTGCCAAGAATTGTAATTCGGTTACTGGCAAATGATTTAAGTTTCCATGTCTCTGACATTCCTGGCAGCCTTTTGCAAATTGTATGCAATCCTCAAAAATCTTAGGCCAGAAAAAACCCAAGCGATGAATAGCCCATCTCATATTGAGACCTGCCCGATGAGCTCCACATATCCCACCATGTACTTCTGTCATCACTTCTAGAGCTTCTTTAGATCCCAAGCATTTCAAAAGTAAACCTTCAAATGATCTCTTGTACAAAATTCCATTTATCAATTGAAAACGTAAAGCCTTCAATCGTATCGCAATTGAAACACTCGCACCAGGATTCTGTAAATACAGGATAAGCTCCGTTCTCCAATCGGACACTGTTTCGCCATCGGACTTCTGTCCGATAAAAACTTCGCAATCGGGCTCCTGACCGACCGTCTCCTGCCCGACAGGCTCGCAGTCGGGCTCCTGTCCGACACTCTCCTGCCCGATCATAACTTCACAATCGGGCTCCTGACCGACAGCCTCTTGCTCGACCGTAACTTCACAGTCGGGCTCCTGTCCAATATCCTCTTGCCCGTTCGTAACTTCGCAGTCGGGCTCCTGTCCAATATCCTCTTGCCCGACCGTAACCTCGCAGTCGGACTCCTGTCCAATATCCTCTTGCCCGACCGTAACCTCGCAGTCGGGGTCCTGTCCAATATCCTCTTGCCCGACCGTAACCTCGCAGTCGGGGTCCTGTCCAATATCCTCTTGCCCGACCGTAACTTCGCAGATCGGGTCTGTCTTTCCTTCTATGCCCGACTTGACCTCCGACCACATATCCTCCAGAATTCCTTTACATGCCCTTTGAGCCAATTCATCAGCACGTTGGTTTTCTTCCCTCGGAATGAACTCAATTATTACTTCTGAGATTTTTGTCAGTAACCGACTCACAATGTCCCTATATCTGCGAAGATGAGGGTAATTACAAACATATTGGTTGTTTACCTGGTTGATTACTAGTTGAGAATCCCCTCTTATGATTACAGACTGGACCTTCCTGGCTATTAAAGCCTCCAGACCCAAAATTAAAGCCTCATATTCTGCCGAATTATGGGTCATGGCTTCCAATCGTAATTGTAAGTTGATCTTTTGACCATCAGGTCCTTGCAAAAAGACCCCTGCCCCTGATTTGTTTCCAGAGGTAGAACCATCAAAGAACATCAACCATGTTCTGGTACTTATATATGGCACACATCCGACCTGTAGATTATCCAGATATGATGAGCAACTAAATGGTCGGACACTATCACAAAGAGAATACCCGACTTGTGAGAATTCTGCCAAGAAGTCGGCTACTGCTTGTCCCTTAATTGCCCTCAGCGGGGAATGTTGAAGATCGAAAGGAGCCAATTTGATGGCCCATTTCATGAGTCTGCCCTTCATAGTAGGTCTCTGTAAAATCAATTTGATGAGATCCACCTTTGATATGACCTCAACTCTTCTGGGCAGCAAATAATGCTCGAGTTTAGTGCAAGCGAAGACCAATGAATAACACATTTTTTCTGGCATAGTGTAATTCAGTTCTGGTCCTGTAAGGGTTTTACTGAGATAGTAAATTGCCCTTTCCTTCCCGTCATCACCATCCTGCGCCAATAAACAACTAACCACTTCATATGTATTAGCCAAATAAAGTTTGAGTGGCCGACCTTGTTTGGGAGGCATCAAGACTGGAGGGTGAACCAATGCCTGCTTGATAGCATCTAAAGCCGTCTGTTGGTCGGGACCCCATGCAAAGGCAATTTTTCCAGCTTTCAACAATTTAGTAATGGGTCTGACCTTGCCAGCAGCATTAGAAATGAAACGCCTCAAATAATTCACCTTACCCAACAGACTTTGGATTTCTTTAACCGTCTTGGGTGGCCGACTATCAAGAATGGCTTTAGCCTTATTGGCATCAATTTCAATTCCTCTCTCATGAACTAAAAACCCTAGAAAGCTCCCGGCTGATATTCCAAAAGCACATTTGGTTGGATTCATCTTCAACTTGTACTTCTTCATTCTTTCAAATGCCTCTTCAAGATCTCTCAAATGTTCGTCAAAACTGGCAGATTTAACTATCACATCATCAATATACACTTCCATAGATCTGCCAATTAAATCATGAAAGATTGAATTCATGGCTCTTTGGTAAGTTGCCCCTGCATTCTTTAACCCGAATGGCATGACTGTCCATTCATAAATACCCAAAGCCCCTGGGCATCTGAATGCTGTCTTAGGAATGTCTTCTTCTGCCAAGAATATTTGGTTATAACCTGCATAACCATCCATCAGACTAAGGATTTTATGCCCTGCTGCTGCATCTATCAGCATGTCGGCCATAGGCATCACATATTCGTCCTTAGGGGTAGCTAGATTCAAATCCCTGAAGTCGATGCATATCCTTATCTTACCATTTTTCTTGACCACTGGCACAATATTAGCCAGCCACTCCGCATAACGGCAAGGTTGAATGAAACCCACTTTGAGAAGTTTTTGGATTTCTTCCTTGATTTGAGGCATCAGATCTGGACTCATTCGCCTTGGAGGTTGTTTGTAAGGTTTACAACCTTCTTTGATGGGCAATCGATGCTCTATTAGACTTCTTGTCAAACCAGGCATCTCTGAATAATCCCATGCTAAACAATCAATGTTGTTTCTAATAACTTCGAGCATCATTGTTTGTTGCTCTTTAGACAAATAACCACTTAACCTGATCACTTTTGGAACCAATTCGGTTC